GAAGAGCGGGCATTTGTTGGGTCAGTCAGTGGATGGGAACTGATTCAAAGGGATATAGCATGGATCGAGTGAAGATCTTCAGTTACAAGGCACTGGCAGTGCCCCCCCCCCGACCCTGTGCTGCTGTGATTCAACGAAATATATTAAGATTTCGGCAAGCCCGTGGGTCTACAGGAAACTACCGTATATTCTAGTATCCGTCTTCGTGATATGTCACTCGGTGTCCGAGATGCCGGGAGAAGCCCAACAACTTACGTCCCCCCTACTACGAGGTCAACCACCAGTCTCCCTGGGCGGTGCCGGGTGTCGCGGTATGCCAAGTGTCACGCTGCGCTGCGTGCGTGTGTGCGCGAGTGTATTTTAGAAACCATGAGCAGGTCCGATGAAAGTATAACACGAAGCATCAAGGGGGACCTCAGGTTTGACGAGCTCGGGCCAACTTTTATGCGACTGCTACCCCGGAGTGGCCGTTGGTGCGGGTTGCCGTGTATCCGTGTGGCACACTTCTCTCCCACTCATCCGTGGGATGGAGAGGAGTTCCTGAACGCGCAGCATTTTCAAAAATGGATCCCCCTACCATCCACTGATGCCCGAGTAGCAAGGGCGGTCGGTGGTTGAGCGGTTCACAAGAAAAAAGGAGATTTCTCCCTCCCCCCCATCCTTCTCTTTTTTTTCTTTTTTTCCCCCCTCCCTTTTTGATACTTTCCCAAGTTAAGAACATCCACAATTTTGAGGTCCCAATCCTAATATAGAATATTATGGGCCCACTACAAATCATCGGGTCACTAATATCCTGCAGAGCTTTTGTGAACATTCCGCCCAAAGGTCGCAAAATCACTCGTCGTGGGCGGGAAATGCTGGTCCAACGTGTTGCTGCGTGATGTTCTAAATACAGCAAAGTCCGCCAGGGGGTGATCGCCGGGATCGATGGCGGGGAAGCGCTGTCGGATGCTTATTCAGGCAAGGTAGGGAACGTTGCCCTAACGGACTACACTCGAACACAGTACCAGTACATTACAGTACAGTACAGTACGGTACAGTAGTGTGCCGGGGAAGCCCACGATATCGGAAGCATGGCGCACGATGATGGCGATGGGCCCAGGACATTAGAGACGCATCGGCGCGTGGCTCATTTTAAGCCGCATGAACACGGCGCTCGGGTTCCGGAAGATATTTTCCAGGAAGGGAAATATTCAGCGAGAAGGTACCGCACAAAAGTACTAGTACACCATCAGGGAGAGTACAGTACAGTATTATACGAGCACAGTGCGGTATCATACAAGCACCGACCGCGGCGAGACAAGTACGCAAGCACAGAGGATAGTCGGAACCCGAAACCCTGCTACGTTGTCACGGGTGGATATATTCTACCACATCAATTGGCGAGTGAGACCTCAGCGGGAAGCAAGGAGATATGCATATCTCCGGTTTCCAACGTGGAGTTGGCGAACAAAGGCGAGATGAAGGGTTCGGCTAATGTTGGATAGTGGTAGGGTATGGCGGCAAGCTGTGTTTTGACGACCCAGACAATGGGGCTGCGTGATTATCGTATCCTCCCCCGGAATCAGTGTACTGTAATTACGAATGGGGCTTCACATGCCGGTACCGAGTTTTCGCCATCCAGCTGTGACTGGATGGGTGACTCCTTCATATCCGTCTCCTTGTAACTCGATATACGGGTGAGTGTACGATAGGGAACCGTACTGTACACGGAGTACCGTATCATACGGACCGTATCACGGTAGCATTCATTATAGGAACTTTTGAAACCCAGGATTGGCAATTAATAAATTTAATGTTCGCATCACAGAGATCTGTACCGCGCTCGGGTGGGGCAGTGTCTCCCGTAGGACAGAAGTACGGTATGTATCTGTTTGTTACAGCGCTCCGCGGTGGATGGTCAAATAGCACTAGTACAGGTACCAGTAAAATCTGGCGAAATCCACCATCTCCGTCTGTTTCCCTGATACAGTAAAAGATCGGCCAGCCAGGTGCGTTGGACCCCGCTAACCGGTATTCGAAATTCTGTTAACCTGCTGAACTAAACCCATAGTGGGATGACAGACGGCCGGAGATAGTGGATTCCACGAGGTTTTACGGGTAGGGCAATCCATACGCTACTCTACTGCATATTGGGGGGAGGGGAATTGACTCTAACGGAAGAAAACACTTGCCTGGTCTTCTGACGTCTGGTATGAGTCTTCTCAGAATCTAGGATTGGTGATAGCTCTTTTAAAGCGTGAAATTCGGACCTGATACCATCTTCTGCAGTGCCACTACCGGTATTGTCGAGCTGGTTGAATAAAGAGAATAATCGGCAAACACCCCCCCCCCCCCACCACACGGTTCATGACAAAGAGTCGCAGGGCTCCAAGGACAGTCACCGAGGGTAAGATAGGTCAAGTCCGTCGGGAAGACTTGGTAGGAGTGCAAACCCTGGAGTGCTGAGAAAGAACTGGTTGCGCCTAAATTAGAATAAGCATCTGGAATGGCACAGATTCGGGGTGGTCGGTAGCTTATTGTTTTAGGCGCGACGAACTTTGGTTATAGTCTCCCTCTCACCATATTTTTTTGATGAATCATCGCATCCCTCGATGGATTACCGGCACCTCCAATTACGGTAATTACGGGTGCAGTAGGGCGGCATCATGATTCGCTGCAATGATTGGAGCAGGAGCAAATTTCCTCCCTCAGGCTTGTGCCCGGGGGTGCGTGGTGTGTGGGAAACAAGGGTGAAATGGGGCCAAAAGCGAGCGAGGAAACGAATTTTTGGCGGAGGGGGGGGGCAGAAACATGTCAAGGCATGGCTGGAGGCGAGAAAACGAGCACAGAAAACATTTCAAGCCACGCGGGAGATTTCAGGAAGCAATCTCGGATTTGATGGAGAAACATCTGGTGGGAAGAATGGGAACATGCCGGGCATGGGAGAATGCTGCACCAGCACCGGCACTGGTACTCGTGCAGTGCCGGTAGGTCACTCCAGTACGATGGGTGCGAGTTTCAGAAGCGGGCGAAACGGCTGTGGGAATATCATACTGGCCCCGAATTTCCAGAATTTTTCCCAATCCGGACCTGTCCCGATCGTACTCGAGTACAGGGAGTGGCTCTTGTGCCTGAATTCTAAACACTACGACCGGGAGGGGGGAGAGAGCCTCTGCTTGGGATTTTTTGTCTCTATGCGATCTCTCTCGCGAGGCTGGTTCACCACACGCGAACACCCTTCCCTTCCTGCCCTTCTTCACGGCTCCGGTGCACTTTCCCTCCCTGCACCGGGCGACATTTCTAGCACGAAGCAAGGTAAGGAAGGGCATTCGTTCCTGTCTCTCGCCCTCCCCAGCCAATCAGAACTGTAGCGTAGGGCTGCAGCAGAGTTCAGGTCTCACATAATAGCCAATTCAAGCCCCTTCACTCCCTCCACCTTCGTCCCTCTTTTCTCTCACTCTCACGCGCTGCGTGCTGCTCGCCGAAATCCATAATTTGTGAGTTATTTTTGATTTACGCTGGAAATGGGTGGCTGTGGAAGAGCGGAGTGAACCGGAGCGAGCGGTCTGATGAGAGTGACGAGTGAGTTGGGCAGGTTACGAGGGAGAGAGAGAAGGAGGGAGAGATGCGTACAGTACTAGTACAGTACAGATGAGCAGGGTACGGCAATGTTTGTGCGATGAAATAGTGCAATCCGCATCGTGGAATACCGCGGCGTTTGACACGGTCGTGTGCGGCGAGCGAAAGCTTCCAATATTCACACGGTTTAGCTATAGAGGCCCTGAGGCCCTGAGGCCGCCGTGACCACTACCAAACGCCTGCCTTCATCATTATCGTTACCTCGATATTTCGAGGTGTCGATTATTAGTACAAGTACCATTTATTATCACTATTATTATTATTATTATCATTATTATTATTATTATTATTATTTCCTCCCTTATGCAGCCCGTTTGTTGGGCAAAAAATCCACTGGCGCCGGGAGATGCAGAATCTCATTCCGCCAATCTGACAACTCGCGATGCAACCGCACACCACCGCTCTCTCTCTCCTTGTTTGCTTACCGTATCCCCTCCATCGCAACCCCCGCTCCTTCTCATCCCACTCACTCCCCCCCCCTCTCTTGACAATCACCCGCTCACGAGATACCGGTACCCCAGCTGAGATCTAGCCATCGTGCATCAGCCCCATCCCTTGGGTTGTTCCGCGCAAACGCCCTATTCCTCTCGGAAGAGGAGTGGGATGGGGGCGATCGGGGATGAGGGCAGCGAGAAGCCGACACTTGAATCCAGGAGAACTGGTCCACTTCAGGGCTTACTGATGGTCTCACCCTCACATTCTCTCACTCACGATCAGGTTTAGGGGAAAGGTGCCGCAGTCTGCCTCGCGCTACAGTAACATCATCATACCTCGGTAGCTTCGAGCGAATACAGTCTGTCTATTGTACGGCACTGTGGTTTGCAGTCCTCGCTTACGTGCTGTTCTAGCATTGCCCAGCCAATTCAAGAAGCGACCAGCGGGTGTCATTTCGGTACCTGTTGCTTCTACAATGTTTTCTCATTGCAGCCTATGTGACAGCGAGGGACAGAGTCACCGACCAAAGCTGAATTCTAACTGAAAATAATAGGGAAAGGAAAAATTGCCGACGCGGGATAGGGCACTTTCCACTGGAGCCGTGGAGGGCAGCCCGACACAGGCAACAGACGATACAATGGAGTTACGGTACTAGGGAACAAGGCCTCCCTCCCCACCCATAACCCATCACCTACCCCCCCCCATCCGTCACTCATGTTTCCCTGATTTTAATTCCCCCTGCATTTTTCTTGATCCTGCCAGGCGGTGGACGGGAATTGGTTTTTGGTCCTGCATGTAGCGCATAGGCCATGCAGCAGCAGCACCAGGCTGCTGGCTCTTTTGCGTAACCCGTGTACGAATACTAACCATTCTGTGTATGTGTGTATTTCCCACGTTCGGCGGCCGAGACTGACCTTGTGGGCGAGCAAGAGGGGCGGAGGAGGATGGGATTCATCTCGTGGAGGTTGAGAGTGCTTTTGCAGCTTTGCCGTACGACTAACCGAAAAATCATGACGCCGACTGCTTGGTGGGCACCCGATGGTCTACATCTGACACCACTCGCTCTTTCCCGCCTCCATGGTTCTCTCCCACACCTCACTTCAACAGCCCCATACCCCCCCCCCCCCCCTTGCACGGGTACGGTACGGCGTTATTTGTCTCGCTCGGAAATTTTCCAGGATGGTTCTAACTTAGGGAAGGGGGGGTAGGGTAGGGTAGGCCGGCGCGGGCAGGGGGTGTGGACTGCGCCCGGGCCTGAGATCTTCTAAATACTTGAGTGGAAGGATGCAGGTTATAAGAACTGTCCTTAGACTCCCGGCCTGCAATATCTCTACAGTCATTAGCATATAACAGCTTCATCCCTCCCTCCCATCCACACTTCCATTCAACATCATCTACTTCGCCCCTAGCGTTCGCTATACACACTACTTACTGCTACACCACATTACAACTACTGTTACTACATCTCCACTCCGACTCACACTACAAGCTATACGCTTCTCCTCGTCGTCCACCCCTTCATCGGCTTTTCACACCTCACTGATTTTACGACTCTGCCTGCACACTCTGTCACGATGTGTATTCGCATCACCGAACGCTTTGCAGTCTGCAACTGCGTCTACTTCGTCCATGGGGTTGACCAGTGCCAGTCAGTAGGCCGCCAGGGGCACTCGGTGCAGGAGAAGACGGTCTTGGTCGGCTACGCGTGCGAGAACCACTCCCGTGGGACTGTGCCGTCATCTCACCTCGGTGTCCTCCCAGACTACACACCCGGCAGTAGCTCAGGATATTCCTACCGATAAAGACAGGAAGGATGATCACGGCGGGGCAAACGGACGGACATGGTTATCGGGACCTTTACGCAAGGAACTTTTACGAAACTGCATTTTACAATCGGGAGCATTGCATTGGATTTGGGAGTTGTCTTTTTTTTTACGGTGAACCACAAGAGCTCGCCGCCTGGGGCGAAAGAGCACGGATGGCGCGCACAACGATATCTCTTCGAGGACTTTACTCCGGCTTGGTCTAGGGAGCGGGAGTTCATAAGACGAACAAATGAGCAGGGATTGCATTTTAGCGGGTCGTTTCCTTTTTTTTTAACCTTCAATTTTTATTTTTTTCTTTCCTTTTCCTTTCTTCCGGGCGACTTGGTTTCTTCCCTTCTGCACCTCGGAGTTCAGGGCATTCGTTCAGGAGATGGCACGGGGCGTACCGGTTGGATATTGAGCATCATAATTGGATAGACGGCTACACGGAGTACGCGGGTTTCTTTTTTTCTTTTTCTTTTTCTTTTTCCCTCTCATTTCTGTAATCACATCCGGCTCGAATCGGAATATGGGGATTGGTGTCTTATCTTTTTTTGTTTCCTTCATACCGGTACATGGGCGTACGGAGTTTTTGGTTTTTGATTATCTTGCTATGATACCCTCTCGACTCAATTTTTCATTTATTATCTGGCTGGGGTACCTTATTGATAACATTAGATTAGATTGGGCTTGGGTTGGGGTTTTTTTCTGGTTTGGGTATATGGCGCATTTGTCGACTTTTAATTGTTAATGACCTCTCTCTGGCGGAGACGTCCAAGGTTTTTGTTAGTTTATTTCGATAATAAAGATATATGCATATCACGAGCCTTCTCGTTGTCCGAAGCAGAAACAGGCTTGAGGAGTGGGTGGGTAGGGGGCGAGTAGCATGAGCAGCGCTTTGGGAACTTTCACGGCATTGAAAAGGAAGAAAACTATCGTATGATACATTTGCATGAGGGCGCCAGGTCTAGCATGGACCTCGCGGCTTGGCCCTACTCGCACACTTGCTTCCTCAGTCCCGAAGCGTTTCGGCCATTGCGCTATATGAAATGCGGGACGTATTCATTATCGCTCTTCATTCATAGCCCTCTCTCTACCTTCTACACCGACAGCTTTCTCTTTTTCTCCCCCGACCCCTCCTCCACACTTCCTCACGGCAGTCGTAGCCTACGATGCAGCGAGCGAGTGAGCGTTCTACAGTTTTCCCCACTCGTATCGTATTGAGGGATGGCCGAACAGACGCAAAGAAGCCCTCAAGAACTTTTGATCCTCCTCCCTTTCCCTGTCTCAGGCAGCACACACACAACCCACTACCGGCAACCAACCAACCCCTTATCCATGAAACGCGATCTATCCGGCGGAAGGTGCAGGGAATGATTTTTTCATCCATTCTTTCTTCCCCCAGCTTCTATCATAAGTTTCCTGCAGTTGCGAAAGGGAGCCAGGTACTCTCGGATTTTTTTTTTTCGTCTTTTTTTCTTTAGAGCCTGATTGCGCAATATCATGGGCTTTCACCGGGGGCCGTACCGAAAACTTTTTGTTCTGGGGAATCGGATACCATGCGAATCCTGGAGCTCAATAGATTGCCAAATACTATTTGAGCAGAGAGCTCTGGACAAAGGATATTAAATTAAAATAAAGTTCTCAGCCATTCGTCCGGCGTGTTTCTCTTTTTTTCCCTCTCTCTCTTTTTTTTTCTTTTCTTTTCTACCCGCGACACTTTGGAAATCACCAATATCAGGCTTTTGGGTTTAGCTTTGATACTTTTCTCGCTTTTATGAGCAGCGCTGGACCTTGCCTTTTCCCCCACTGGGATGAATGGATGAACTCGGGATGTGGGGGGGCGGAGAGTCGCTATTATAGTAATATTGAATCGCATTGCCTCGCGGTCATAAATAATCACTCCGCGGCGTACCTTGCCGTAGCGTAACGGATGGGCACGGCTACTACGGTATGTGAACGAATGATAACTGGTGCATTGTGTGTGCTGGGGTAGGGTGCTGTGTAGTATCGGTACATATAGATATTGATTCGGGGTTGACATGTGCGCACATCTGTGCAATCAGAAGTGGAAGAGGGTTCAGGACCACGGGGGCTTTTCAGGTAAGTTGTACTCCTCAGAAGGCTTGTTTCCAGACATGATACAGTACCAGCTTGCGGTAATATACAGCACAATACGGTATCTTGGGACGACGGCAGATATAAACAACCACACGCTACAGCACCCGAGCCAAACCTTCCTTACTTCCCTCCTCCCTCCCTTCCTTCCTCGCCAGTGAAGTAGCAGTGGTAGTAATGATCCACCTTACTTACCGTATCTGTCTATCCATCCCCCCCCCCCCCGGTGCATACGGGACACGACACTACAAAAACTTCATCCGACAGCGCATTCGCTTCGCTTCGCAATCCGCCCATCCCTCCATCCCAACCGGCGCCAACACCGGAGATCATTTCTCTTCTAGAACCGGTCCCGGAAATTCGTTTTGACTTTTTTATGGAAAGCGGGGTTCCTGGGATTGGGGGGGTTTCTTTTGACACTTTTGGGCCGGGTGGCCGGGTGCTGTGCGACGCTCGAGTACCGTCCTGGTACTGTGGCTACAGGACTGTCACACCCCCGTTGTGTCCCGGATCTCGATGGTCTGGGTACTTTCCTCGCTGACCCGTATGAATCTTTGCGAGTTCCAAATTTCCTTACACCAGAGCCTGACCTGCTGCCCCGGGTCGCGAGCTGTACCGGGTAGCTGCGTGCGAATGTATGTCTGTTCTTGTGTAGCTAGAAGTAGCCTTTTTCTGGAATGGTCTTTTTCCTCGACCATTTTTTTCTCTCTCAGAATGGGGTGGCAGACAGAGGGGTGACCCGGGTGAGTTGCTATCATACTAGTATTGTAAAGGCCGGTGGAAGGAAATTAGGTTTTGGCTGGTTCGTTTCTTTTTTTCCCTTCAGATATTGTTTTGCCTTGGTGGGGGATCCGGCATAGGGCCCGTACCGCAGGCTAACTGCTGGAATCGCCGTTACAGCGGCGCTGCATCAGGATCGCAACCCCAATTTTCCATCATTACTTACACGAGTATGATACGCTACATAATTAATCACGGTAACCTGCTAACTATCTCCATGATAACACCCCATCAGCAAATCAGCCCTCCCAATTTCCAAAACGGCCCTTTGCCTCACGTGGAAGTGCAGACTCAACTCATTCCTTCCTTTTGCTCGCTCTCATCACATCCTCTCCCGTCCCATCACTTTTTCGACCTCGCCCCTGACACGACCGGGTTCCGGACATCGCTCCAGCCAGGATCATCGCGGTGTAGATTCCCGGGATAGGGGGGATCACCTCGAACCCCGTTTATGATACGGTACCTACGGTACATGGCATTTCTCTGTACGGCACCGTGCCGAAGCCCTCACTTGTTTCGTCCAAGTGGTAATTGCCAACCTGTGATTGGTGGCATGTCCGGCTTCCTTGATTGCTATATCATGCCACGGGCATATCATCATGGCGCTTTTACGAGTACCGTAGCCTGTTAAGCCGTCCGCCGTACGAGTACTGTAGTACTCGCACAGCGCTACACAATATCCATATGACAGGGTAAAGTTCAAGATCTTCTCTCGGGGAGTCGGGGACAAGTACGCTGTGATTTCCTTTTTTCCCATTTTTTTTTTGCCCCTACCGCATCATACCATATGCAAATCATTCTCTCCTACCGCGGCTGACCTCTTTTTATCCCATTTTTCTTTTCATTCTTTCTTCCCCCAAATTTGCTTCTTTTCCTTGTTTCGCGCTTTGTTCCTTTATGTGAGGGAATTAGAAGAAGGGAGAGGGGGTGGGCTGGAGAGCGGAAAGGTGGAACCCCCGAAAAACCACGGGGGATGGAAGAGTTTTGGAAGGGGTGGATTGTCCTACGGCACTACGGTGTACGAGTACTTGTACTGTAGGGTACGGCATCTTGCGGTTCTGTGCGCTGCTCGAGGTGACCACCACGGTCCGTGGGTTCCTGCGGTTTGTGGTGTTTTGTGAGTCTGGTGGCTGCTATGGTTCTAAGCGCACGTCGCCCCGGTGTGTTGGCAACGGGTACTGCACAGTACCGTACAGTGCAATGCAAGAATTCGTGACAATTCAGTACCCCCCACGACTTGCTTGCACGGATTTATAAAGTATCGGGACACCATGGCACTGATTGATACCGCCTTGGCACCAAAGCGTCCCAATACTTGATGAACCGGGCGGGTTGCGGGTGCCTTGTTGTGTGACTTTGGGATGGATGGACACGTTTTCCCCACGTGCTCGTAAAGTACTGTACTCGTACTCGAGTACCGTACTAACTATACCGTACTTTAACTCCTCCACAACGACTACCACCACGGACCCAGTCA